TCTAAATTATGGCTACAATATAGTCTTCAGTGGGTATTAGAGATCGTAAAGCAGTCTGTTTTTGTTTTTCTTCCAATCTATTGTCCACTAGAGTTTTTGATAGTTTTTCAAGTTTTGGTGTGTATTACTTGTACAGTTATCAATTATCATAATAAACTTATGATTAGCAGATAAGCTTGTAGTTCTGGTCATCAGTCATTCTGATATTCACATTATTTCACAAAATTTCAAAAGATGGAAATACATTACATAGGATTGAAAGGAGACTTAGGAATGAGCTGTTATAAGCTGTGGCTCTGTGGAAAGAATATTAAATTCAGAAGCTTGATTTGATGTTTAAAAAGTGTTTGAAAATTTTAATTGTAAAAGTTAAAAATTAAATGGTATGAATACAGTTTTATATCAAAAGTAATCTAGAAATATTGAAAGATACTTCTTCTTGGTGTAAAAGCTGGTTCTCCTGAGTTTCTGGTACACTCAGATCTTGTGCACATTAGACAATGAAATTCATTAAATGTTTGTCATAGCATCCGTCTTAAAAATATTATTATCAATCAGCGCATCCTTATTTAACTGAAATTAGTTGGTAAATAAGGTGTAAAAGCTTTTGTGTGTGTTAAGGGAGAAACTACAAATTGGTAAAACAGATAAAAAGAGACAAAATAGTGACAGAATATTTAGGAAATGTTGATTTTAGAAGAGGATTTGGTCTAATCAATTGACAAGGGTTTTAATTGCAAAATTTGGAATTTATTAGAAAAAGGAACTAGAAACAATTGTCATTAATATCATTGGTGATTAATTTATTTTTCATTTCCCACAATACATGTAAATAAAGATTTAAGAATGATCTATCTATCTTTCTATAACATAATATGGAGACAATAATAGATAATATGGCTCTACAGCCCTTAGCAGGTCCTGGCCTCCTCAATGAGCTTCCACAAAATTTCTCTATTCTGTGTGGCCATTTTCCAATTCCTGACTCTCATCAAGTCTCTCATGTCACCTGCCACACCATCTGCCCATCTCAATTTCAGTCTACCAGCTCTTCTGGTATAGTGTAATGGCTCCTCAAGCACTCTTATCGAGATTTCAGACCTCTCCATTCGAGCTATGTGTCCTGCCCAACTCAGCCTTCTTAATTTTATTATTCTGGCCACATTAGGTTCATTAAACAATTCGTAGACCTCTCTATTCTTCCGAATTCTCCAATCCAGTCCCTCCTTTATAGGGCCAAATATTCTTCTAAGGATTTTCCTTTCAAAGACCAAAAGGTCTTTTTTGTCATTTTTTGTTAAGGTCCATGTTTGGCTACCATAGATAAGAATTGGCCCAATGAGCGTTTTATAGAGCTGCAGCTTCATACTTCTACTAATTAGTGAGCTTCTCATGCTTAGTTAGGCCAAAATAGCATCAATTTGCAGCTGCTATTCTCCGCTTTATTTCAAGTGACGTCTCATTTTTTGTCATAATTTGAGATCCCAGATAAGAGAATTGTCGGACGTTCTCAAAGGTGTAAGGGCCTAGAGATATTCTTTGGTTTTGGGGATTCTCTCCCTCTTCTATACATATATTTTCTCATAATTCTCATTAATGTGGAGCCCCATCTTAGCTGCAGCTTTTTGCAATTCAAGGATGGCATCTTCGAGAGCTGCAAAAGACCGTGAACCAATATCAATGTCTTCTGCGTAACCTAGCAGTTGCACCATATTTGTAAATATCGCGCCCTTAGTCTGAATGCCAGTCCCTCACTACCTTCTCCAGAGCCAAATTAACAATAAACATGTCAAAGAATCATCTTGTCTCAGTCCTTTATTGGTGGGAAACTCCAAGGAGTATTCTGAATGAATGCTTACTCCGTGCTGTACGTCCTGCATTATCATTTTTACCAGAGGAATTAGTTTAGAGGGGATGTTTCGTTCTTTCATTGCTTCATACAACTTGTATCTCCTTATGTTGTCATAGGCACTCTTGAAGTCAATAAACAGATGATGGATGGGAATTTTATACTCATGATATCTTTCTAGAATCGTCCGGAGAGTAAATATTTGATCAATAGTTGATCTTCCCTTTTGAAAACCAGCTTGGCATTTTACAATTTGGCAATCAGTGAATGGGGCTACTCTGTTGTAGAGGATGTTGGAGACAATCTTACATGCACACTGCAGTAACGAAATCTGTCGGTACTTGGTGTATTCCAATTGTTCTCCTTTCTTGTGTACAGGACATATGACTGCAGATTTCCATTGAAAAAGCATTCTTTCCTGTCTCCAGAATATCAGATCATAAATGAGCTTATGTAGCTCTTCGGCACCATATTTAAATAGCTCCGGTGGTAGTCCATCACCTCCTGGTGCCTTATGATTTTTCATCTTTGCAATCGCATCCTGGATCTCTTCAAGCTGAGAGGGTTCTATTTCCCTATCATCGAGCATCATGTTATTGTGACTCCTAGAATCCAGCTCTGATTCAGCCGCTCTCTCATTCAATAGGTCATTAAAATGTCTAGCCCATCTTTCAAGTACTTCCTTCTTATTAGTGAGAAGTGAGCCATTTTCCTTTCTGCTTGATTGAAATCTCGCCCTAAAAGGGATCCTCCTCTTATTAACTTTTTGGAAAAACGTTCTATACTTATTGGTATTTCTCAGAGTCTCCACTTCTCTTCTCAACTTTTCTTTCCATTCTAAATTTTTCTGTTGCCTGCCTTGTATACCACTTCTGTACCATCAGTCTGTAGGATACGTTCTTTGCCTCGGTTGTCCTCCTACATTCTTCATCAAATCACGGGGATCTCTTTTCGGGATCTTTAAATCCAAGGGTAGCCTCTAATGTCTTGGTTATGACTGTTTCCAGACCTTGCAATGTATCCTGAATATTATCTAAATTGATGGCACGTAGTTTCTTTCATTCTTTCATCTAGTCGTTTTTGAAAGGAAGTGAGCGTATCAGCTTTTTTCAGTTTCATTATATTCCACCTCTTTTGTGCTATTGATTTACATATCTTTGCACTAGAGATTATCCCCTTAATCCGAGCAATGATCAAATAGTCCCGTTAATACTGTGCTTCCTATAATCGTTTCGAGATGCAGCAAAATTTACAACTCTTTTTTTCATTGTCATTGCACTCTTCTTGAATATTCTGGAGGCCAATGGTTGTTATGTATATTTCTTCCTTCCCAATGTTAGGATTAAAATCTCCCAACAGAATCTTTATGTCACTCCTAGAGCATATGTCATGAGCTCTTTCTAATGTGTGTTAGAAATTCTCCTTTTCTTCTTCACTCGGTACTTCGGTAGGAGCATGGCAGCTGATAAGGCTGTAATTATAAAACACTCCTTTGATACGAAGAGTACAAAGTCATTCATTAATGGGAGAGAATACAATAACTTGGTGTCATTTGTCCTCTCACTACGGATCCAGTTTCGAACGTATGATTCTTTCTGTGGCAGCTATACTATAATAGTGTGGTTCTTCTTTTCAATAAGACCACTGTCCACCCAGCGATAATGGCTCGGAGCACTCTGACTTGCTCCCCCTCCGGGATGGCTTCCCAGGGAAGGAAGCCCTAGGGTGAGTAGTGCATATGTCCTTGTGTCAGTTTACATGTATAGTGTTGTGTTATGTGTGTATTTGTGCTGTTTACTGAACTGGGGTACCTAGAGGAGCTTTAATCCTCACTAGCCATACTCAAGGCTAGCCTCTGCAAGGAATTAAGAAAGATGAGTAACTCAATTTTTTTCTGACTAATGGGGTTGGTTATTTTATTTAGGGGTTAAAATTTGACTTTCTTTGAATAGTGCGGTGAATAATTGAATATGATTAGGTGTGAAAAGGACAAATAGAAAATTTTCGTGAACTTATGGGAGTGCTATCATATCCAATGACCATGGTATGAATTTTAATGTTCATGCAATTAGTGAAATTGACTTGAAAGAGAAGGGGAGGGAGCGCTAGATATACTTATAGTTAATACTTTCAACTGTAATATGCCAATATAATTTGGCTAAATAAAATATCCATTGATGTTTCATTAAATATTCAGTCAAAAATTAAAATAAATTAATGAGTTTTACTTTGAGGATTTTCGATTGTAAATTCTAGATAGTTCTACATTGTAACCAACCAAGTCCAACCTATTTTATATAAATTAGTGGATAAATCAAGATAGTTGTTAATTTTGATTATGATTATTAGTAGTTGCTTTAAGAGTTGATTCCTTGGAAATTACTGATGTGAATTATATGTTGTTGATCAAATTGGTTAATAATAATATCTTAATAATTGATCCTTGGTTTTATCATCTCATTATTTTCAATTTTTCTTCACTTATTTTGTTAGTAATATTTTCTAAATATTAATCAGTTAAGACCTATGTCAGTTTTCTTAAAACAAAGATTAGTGAAATTATTAAATAATTTTATTATTAATTTTAAGTTTTTCACAAAATTTCAGGTGAACTTTAAAAGGTAGGTGAAAGAGAGAGTTTTATTTCTCATCTTAATAGTTTTGCATGTTAACTGTGGCAAGGTCCTAGGTATTTTTCTCTTCATATTAATTTGTAAATCATTTGAAGTAATTGATTCATATATTGTATTTTTTATGCTTGTTGATGAAGTAAATGTATTTTACTTCACTTCAAATATTCACTTCGAACATTAATTTGTCTAAAAATCTTTAGAAGTTATCGTAGCTATTTATTATACCATTTATTTATATATATCGAAATTTTCATTGGTTTTGAGAAACTAAGATTTTGTAATTCATTCATTGAATTATAAATTATTAGAGGCATCGGTCATTTCTATAATCTTTTCAAGTGTTCTTCTTCACAAGTGTGTTGGTTTTGGATATTTCAATTACATATTTGGTTTGATTTGGTGAAATATTAAAATTCATTGAAGAATCTCAGAAGTTTAATTTGAAAATGAAACACTGGTAAGTAAATTTGTAATATTTTATTCTCGATCTTTTTTTTTCATTTTGATTCTGTTGACAGGTTCAGACAATTCAGATGTGGATACAGATGATGAATCTGATGCAAGTATCAAGGGTGATGTGGAGGAGGATGTTGATGTTAACGAGCTCCTTATGCAGGCTACTGGCTCTCTCATGTTTCCTTGGTCATGTAACAGATGTGGTGAAGCCTTTCCAACTAGAAAACAATATCAGGATCATCGCAAGAACTGTTTTGAAGTACCAATAGACCATCCATGGAAGTGTGAACAGTGTCCTAACACTTATAAAAATAAGAAAGATCTTATCCGTCACTTAAACTATTGTGGGAAGGAACAACCAAGGCTTGTCTGCGAAAGGTGCAATAATACATATAAGTACTATAGAGGATTAAAGCGACATCAGCAGTACTGTGGAACTGATGTGAAGCCTTTAAAGTGTCCCGAATGTGATAAGACGTATAAGTATAAGCGTGGTTTACGACGTCATCAAAGAAAATGTTCTATATTTAGAGCACTTAGTTTTCTTCAAGAAAGAGGTGTTAATCCTGTTGTTACTCCCGAATTGAAGCTTGAGAAAGAAAAACGTACTGTTCCATCGATGGCAACTCTAGTTTGTGCATGTGGAAAGGGTTATAAGTATGAAAGATCATTTCAAAGGCATCGGACTATTTGTTCAGGTTTTCGTCTCTCAGAATCTTCGCAGTCTGTAAATGTTGAATCTGCAGATTCTGTGAACAGTTAATAATTAAGCTATAAATGTCTAATGGTCTGTTATTATTTTTGATGTGCCTTGTTAATCATATGGTATATTTCAATAAAGAAAGAAAATTGTTTTTATTTTGTTTCAAGTTTTGCATTTGTAACAGTAATAATGTACATAACATTATATATATAAATGTATATATATATATATATATATATATATATATATATATATATATATATTATCTAAAATTCTTTTAATCATTAAAACATACATGAACACACACATAATGGTCTTTTTTACTATTTAACATCTCTAGAGAATTAATTGTTGTATTTTTGTAAGAAAAAAAAACAACAACATTTTAAATTGAACATATATTTCTTGATTTGTCATTAAATATTTCCATACATCACATATGGAATGGATTCTATTTTGAATATGTTGAACTTTTTACTCCAGAACATTTTGAATCTTTACATTTTCTATGTTTATTGTCAATGGAGTATGTATGGTTTTATTATGATTTTTTTTTTCACAATTATATTAGGTAGGATAAAGGCACCTATTATTGACATGTTACCAATTATTAACACTTATAATTTAAATTGGATAAAATAAGCGTTTAGATTCATGTAGAATTTCAAATTTGGCACAGTAATCAGCCTTTGAAAGTGCACCAAGTTTGAAATCCTACATGAACTTAAAGGTTTATTTTATCCAATTTAAGTTACTAGTAAAGGTTTATTTTATCCAATTTGTTACTAGTGTCAATAATTGGTAACATTTCAATAATAGATGCCTTTTCAATACCTCCTCTTTATTAAAAAATAAAAAAATGGAGGGAGAAAACATTTAATATTTAAGGTTTGGCGATAATTTAAAATACTGCATTATTTTTAATTGGAATGATATTAGGTTTTGCCATTGTATTTTATTTATTTATTTTTTTAATGAGTCTGATCTGACGTTTTCCAGAGAATAGTTAGTTGGTTTTTACCCTAAAGATCATATTAGCATCTATATCTTTAGAACTCAGACCTATTTTTATGTTAGAGTTGGTGATTTTATCTGTTTCATTATGAAGTAACTTATATGACACTTAAGACACCATCCTTGATTATGTCATGAATTTCAATTCTGATTAAAAAAGTATAGCTTAATTATAGATTATCAACATGTTGGTAAAATTAAAACTTGAAATTCCACTGTATGTGTGTGTTTATAAAGGTGTATTCTGAAATAATTAATAGTAATCTTTTGAAATAAATCATAAATATTAATGCTTATTTTGATGCAAATTGTTCACTGTTATTTTTTTTAAATAATTAATTTTATTGTAAAAAATTTAAAATGTTATTTAATATAAGGTACCTATTTTCTTTTGTTTTGTTCTACTATCCAAGCAGCTTTGGATAGTTGCTATTATTCTTATGGAAGTTATAAATTTATGTGATTCTTTATATTTAGCCTTTATATTTTTCCCATTTATTAGTATTAGAAATGAATCAGAATATACATCCTTTGTTTTTTTTTTATTCTATTTTAATTGTATCCATAAAAGTTAAGTAAATAGTTTTTACAACACTGTGGTGCAAGTAACTTTTAGTGCCTTTGTCATAAGTTTTTTTATTTTAGTAATATATTATCCACTAATTAAAAATAATCTGTATATTTTGTAAATAATTTAGGGGTCATATAGTATTTATTTTTATTAATAAAACATTTTATGATAAACTACGTTTCTCAATATATTTGATAAACAAATATTGTTGGTGTTTACTCATTACGATCCAGTATAATTAATATTATTGTTTAATATGAATTTTTATTTTTATGACTAATCTTGAATATTTTTTGAACGCAACAAATCATTATCATTATTACAAATTGTAAATTTCTATTTGAAATATGTTCTTTTTCAAAGTACTATATCATCATATAAATTCTAACACTTCCTAGCTCAATTCCCAAAACTTTACTTCAAGAACTTAATAAACTTTCTAATTAATGACCTTTTATGTATAAGTTAGTGCATATTTCAACCTAAAATGTCATTGAAACAAATACCAAAAATCTACCTACTTCATTTTTGTAAAAATTAAGTTTGGTGGTGTTAGAATATATATGATGGGATTACATTTTTAAATAATTTTGGATATTGTTTTAACAATTGCTGATGACAGCTATTTAGTTGCATTTAAAATTATTTGAAAACAATTTTAATATTATTAATTATATATTTGCAACAAATGGAGTTTTGTTTGAAATTTCAATAAACAAATTTGTTATTTGTTCATGATATTCATTAAATTGTTAATTTAACTTTCTATTAACACCACATGAATTTGAAATAATGCAGTTTTAATGTACTGCATTTTTTGTCTGTTACAATTACGTTTTGGCCAATATAAAATTTATGGCAGTATATTAAGTAGTAAAACTTGCAGCTTTGTGGTATTCTAATTAATGACATTATTGGACGGTGTTACAAAAAATTATTCATTTTTTATTGAATACTCATTGATATAATTTTCTCTTATTGTGTTACTTAGTAGATCTTTTATCTGTTTTGTATCTTCAAAGATAGATGTGTGTATATCAAAAAAGGTTCTATTTTTTTTTCTTCCTCTTAGTACTCCTTTACTTTTAAATTTAATGGTGTTCTGCTAAACAAATTAAATTTTTTTAATATTTACCAAAGTGACAAAATGTCAATATTGTTGCTAAAGATAAAATAATTTTGAGTTTTCATATTTCAGAATCTAATAAGCATTGTGTATAACTGAAATTACCAAACATTTTATGTTATTATTATTTACAAAACAAATTGAACAAAATTATATTAAAGACTTATATATTATATTAATCAAACATTTTATACAAAAAGAAACCAAATAAGTTGCAATTTAATTTTATCTGTTTAATTTAATGGAACACAATCATATTTTTTGTTTTATTTCCACCCATGATAAAACAAAACAAATTAATTCATTAATTGAATCATCATGTTGTAAAGGGAACTAAGTCTGAAAACAACTTTTCAGGAGGCACTAAAACCTGCCCTTTTTTTTTTTCCATTACAGTAATTTTAAAAAATCTAAATAGTAAAAAATAACCTTTTGGCACCTCTTTTCTGATTAATCAGAAAGTTTCATCTTTTACCTATTAAAACTATAAACTTTAATTATTTTTATTATTATAATAATTTAGGTAATAAATATAATCATTTAAATATTGGAACCATATTTAATAATTTTGTACATGTTAATATTTTTGTATAAATATTAATAATATCAATTCTCCATTATCAAACAGGGATGTAACTTTTATAATTATTTCAATTTGTTCCAAATTCTGAATTGTATCACAAGTCGACCAAATATAATATTTTATGACTTTGATTCTTTTCCCATTTAATCCAATAAATTAATGAAAAGCACCTTGAATTTTACAGTTCCTTAGCCATGAAATTATTGAATTTTGCAATGCTACATAGCTGGAAACCATGACAACTGACTTGGTTCCTTCTTCTCCTGTTGAAGAATTTACAGGTCTCAGAATCAAGTTGCCAAATGATAACTTTTTTACTCTTACTACCAAGTGAGGCTTCTTGGTCCAAATTATGAGAATATCTAGTAAAATATATATATTTTTAAATTAGTCCTCTTATCTATTTGATGATTCAATTATTTGACCATTTTTTTAGGCTTAAAATGAGATAAGGTTTTTTGTATGCTAAATTTTATTTTTGTTAACATTCAATGTAATTATATTCCTAATGTTTTATTAATTTCTCTGTAATAAATCATTCTTGTTTATATTGATCATAAGCTATCTATTTTATTTTTCTCTGAGTTATAAGCATTTTCAATTGTCTGTGAATTACAATAATTGTTTGCCATCAGTTAAAATAATTGTATTATGTAAAACCAAAGAATATTGCTAAAAGTAAATATTTGTATTTTAAATATTGCTTAAAGAACAAACAATGTCTTTAATGTTGAATAAATAAATATTTAAAATAAGAATTTTGTTATTTCTTTATCCTGCCTTTATTAAATTAATATTTTTAAACCATATTTTTTTTGGTGAAACTTAGAATACAAGTGATATATTCATGAGTACAACAAAAGACTGATGAGTTATACAACTTTAAATTATAATTCAAAATAAACTAGATGCCAGAGGTTAATATAAGTAACAAATTACATGAAAGTCAATTGCTTAAAAAAACTTCTTAAACTTAAAAATAAAAACCAAATAAATAAAAATCTCCCTCTCCATTTATTAATATTAACCCAGTGGAACATCTTTATCGTTCAACTAAGAAAAGATAAAAGAACAAATTAAAATTTTTAATTCCCTGGTTTTTCGTTCGAGATAATTGTCAATCAAGTAAAAAATTATAGTGTTGTCTGGAAAATCTTTCAGGATTTCATGTTTTCTTTATATTAATCCTCTAACAAACTATTTATGTTTGAGGGATAATCCTTTTGTATGGGCGTTAAGACTTCAGAATTCAGTATATATTAATGCACACTCTCCCCATAAAGAGTATTTTTTTGAACTTGTAAACCGAAGGGAAAAAACAACAACTAATGTTTGGACTAAGAACTAGATATATTTATAATCAATGATATATATATTACAAATCAAATGATAATTCAGTAATGGCTTGTTCACTCTATGAGATTGAGGCACTGGATTTGCAACAAAGAGATTATGATTTGGAGATTTCGGAGGATGACCTCAAACACGAAACAGATTCTTCTGTATTTAGTACTATAACCTCTAAAAAGGCTACTAAAAGAAATAGAAAATCAGTGAATAGAGATGGTGATATGAGAATTATTTATTGAAAGGCCAGGTGGAAAATGAAACACCCTCTTACAATAAGAAGAGAAAAATTCTTACCAATTTTAAAAATGCTATTTTGGAATATCAGAGGCTTTAGTATACTTAACATTCTGCCTTTTGAAACTTGGATCACCTGTGAAAAGACAAACAAACCTTTTTTTCTTGAATATTACAGTTAT